GCTCCAGGGGCAGCAGCAGGTAACGCGGCCCGCGCGGGCCTGGCGCGAGGGCACCGACGGGTTGGGTGTCCCGGGTGGTCCTGGGACGTGGGCATGGAGGGGTTAGATGTCCTGGGATGAGGGCATGAAGGAATTAAATGTCTAAGATGCTCCTGGGACATGGGAATGGAGGAATTAGGTGTCCCAGATGCTCCTGGGATGTGGGGACAGAGGGGTTATACGTCCTGCATGGTCCTGGGACATGGACATGGGGAGATTAGATGTCCAGGATGCTCCTGGGACGTGGGCATAGAGGGGTTAGGTGTCCTGAATGGTCCTGGAACATGGGCATGGAGGGATTAGATGTCCAGGATGCTCCTGGGACGTGGGCACAGAGGGGTTAGGTGTCCCGGGTGGTCCTGAGATTGGGCATGGAGGGATTAGATGTCCTAGGATGAGGGCATGGAGAGATTAGATGTCCAGGATGCTCCTGGGACGTGGGCACGGAGGCGTTAGGTGTCCTGGGTGGTCCTGGGACATGGGCGTGGAGGGATTAGATATCCTGGGATGAGGGCATGAAGGGATTAGATGTCTGCTCCTGGGACAGAGGCACGGAGGGGTTAGGTGTCCCGGGTGGTCCTGGGATGTGGACATGGAGGGATTAGATGGCCAGGATGCTCCTGGGACAGGGGCACGGAGGGGTTAGGGGGCCCGGGTGGTCCTGGGATGTGGACATGGAGGGATTAGATGGCCAGGATGCTCCTGGGACAGGGGCACGGAGGGGTTAGGGGGCCCGGGTGGTCCTGGGATGTGGACATGGAGGGATTAGATGGCCAGGATGCTCCTGGGACAGGGGCACGGAGGGGTTAGGGGGCCCGGGTGGTCCTGGGATGTGGACATGGAGGGATTAGATGGCCAGGATGCTCCTGGGACATGGGCATGGAGGGATTAGATGTCCAGGATGCTCCTGGGACGTGGGCACGGAGGCGTTAGGTGTCCTGGGTGGTCCTGGGACATGGGCGTGGAGGGATTAGATATCCTGGGATGAGGGCATGAAGGGATTAGATGTCTAGGATGCTCCTGGGACCTGGACATGGAGGAATTGGGTGTCCCAGACGGTCCTGGGACATGGGAATGGAGGAATTAGATGTCCTGGGATGAGGGCATGGAGAGATTAGATGTCCAGGATCCTCCTGGGACCTGGGCACGGAGGGGTTAGGTGTCTCAAACGGTCCTGGGATGTGGACATGGAGGGATTAGATGTCCTGAACAGTCCTGGGGTGTGGACATGGAGGGATCAGATGTCCTGGGATGAGGGCATTGAGGGATTAGATGTCCAGGGTGCTCCTGGGAGGTGGACACAGAGGGGTTAGGTGTCCTGAATGGTCCTGGAACATGGGCATGGAGGGATTAGATGTCCAGGATGCTCCTGGGACGTGGGCACAGAGGGGTTAGGTGTCCCGGGTGGTCCTGAGATTGGGCATGGAGGGATTAGATGTCCTAGGATGAGGGCATGGAGAGATTAGATGTCCAGGATGCTCCTGGGACGTGGGCACAGAGGGGTTAGGTGTCCCGAGTGGTCCTGGGATGTGGGCATGGAGGGATTAGATGTCCTAGGATGAGGGCATGGAGGGATTAGATGTCCAGGATGCTCCTGGGACAGGGGCACGGAGGGGTTGTGTGTCTCGGGTGGTCCTGGGACATGGTCATGGAGGGATTAGATGTCCTGGGATGAGGGCATGAAGGGATTAGATGTCTAGGATGCTCCTGGGACCTGGACATGGAGGAATTAGGTGTCCCAGATGGTCCTGGGACATGGGAATGGAGGGATTAGGTGTCCCAGATGCTCCTGGGATGTGGACATGGAGGGGTTGGATGTCCTGTGTAGCCCTGGGACATGGGCATGGAGGAATGAGCCATCCTGGATTGTTCTAGGACATGGGTATGGAGGGATGAGCCATCCTGGATGATTCCAGGATGTGGAGACGGAGGGACGAGCCATCTCAGCTGGATCTGAGATGTGGGCCCAGAGGAATGAGCCATCCTGAATGGTTCTAGGATGTGGACATGGAGACATGAACCGTCCTGTATAGCCCTGGGATGTTGGCGTGGAGGGATGAGCTGTCCTGCATGTTCCTAGGACATGGGCATGGAGGGATGAGGGATCCTGGGTGTTCCTAGGATGTGGGCATGGAGGGCTGAGCCGTCCCAGCTGGTCCTAGGACATGGGCATGGAGGGATCCGCCACCCTGCCGTGGCCCGGTGCCGCGCTGCGCGGTTGCAGCATTGGGATCACTTGTGGTTGGGAAACCCTCAGACAAGCAAGGGAGAACCCCCCCGCGGCGCCCGAGCTGCACGGAGCCAACGTGTGGTAACTTCTTCCCGATTTTTTCCTCCCGTTCCTGCGCGTCAGCTGATCCACCAGAACCGGCAGGCCATCCTCAACCAGTTTGCGGCCAACTCGCCGGTGGGCATCAACATGCGGGCCGGGATGCAGCAGCAGATGACGCCCCAGGTAAGGGCCCTGCGCGCCGCGCGCGGGGCGGGGAGCCGGGAAGCTCCGACCTCTCCGTAACGGAGCGGAGCGTCGCCCTGCGCCGGGAGCCTCTGAGAGGCCTCTTTGGAAAACAGATGCCACCCTCCTGGTGTTGGTGTCTGTGGTGGATATTCCGATGATCCCACCAATCCCCCGGCCCTAGAGCTCCGCTTTGCTGAGAAACCCTCTGCTCGGCA